GTTGATGGATGGGGCCTGGGTGGATGGGGACTGGGTGGGTGTCCAGCCCCAGCTGTGTAAATGGGACCAAAGGCTCCACCTGACAAGGGCCCAGAGCCAGGCTCCACTTGAGGCAACAGATAAACATAGAAAAGTAACATCCTGCCCCTAACAGTGGAGAGAGAGTGTTATTGTTGTGAAAAGCGCACAGTAGAATTTTAAAATTTCACTATAATTTGGTCACAGATTTCAAAGAATATCAAATAGAGCATGTTCTGTGAGCACAACGGGCTGAAGGTAGTTTTATATTTATATGTGTGTCCACTTGTCCACCTCCTTGTTTGGAACTTGCCGCACTCCTAAGTGACCTAGGGTTAACAAGTCCCAGTAAAGTGACAACATTTTAGAAGTAAATGGCAGTAAAGGTACATCCTGTGAGACACCGTGAGGCGTGGCCTCGCTGACACTTAACTCGGGTGAGGGAGTCCTTCCACGGAGCACTTCTAAGAAGTGGGAACACAAATGGTTTGTATTCAACACATTTGGGAAAGAGTAGCGGAGCAAATTAGAGAAAGAAGGGAATAAATGTCAGAGCAGAAGCTCATGACGTAGACAACAGGAGGCATCAAAGGTGGGTGGAGGGGGAGCAGAGAGCTCAGCACGCACTTGAGTGAGGTTGGAATCAGCTGGAGAAGCAGCCCAGCAGCCCTGAGTGGCTCCAGCGTTCCCACAGCATCCAGGCTCTCCTGGCCCCTCCCGTGGACTGCTGCTGACCGTTCTCTCGAGCCTGTGACCAAGCCCATGAGCATCGGGTGGCCCCGGCACAGGCTCCTCCAGGGCCTGACTGCCTGTCCAAACACTGGCCAGTGCAGGAGCCTCTGTAAGCCTCCAGCAGGGCAGGCCGTGGCTCCCTGAGCCCCAGGGTGAGTCCCACAGAGGCCTGCAAGGTCCCAGCCTCCACCTGCAGCCACCTGCGTCCTTACTGTGGCCATACAAGCCCTGACCATCCCTGGGCCCAGGAAGCCCACACTGGAGATGAACAGAGTGGTATTAATCCTGAAATGTTAAAATAGTGATAGAACCCAGCGTTGATGAGAGTTACAGGGCCAGGGTCACCACAGACAGAAATGCAATCTAAAGTCGGGCACTGTGCCCTGCTCACTGGAGCCAGGCGCGATTTCAGTGGCCTCCCGTAAACTGACTTGTGTAACTCTCACGGCAGCTCTACAGAGTGGGCAGTGTCGCCATCCCCACCTCACAGCTGACAGGTGGGGCTAGGCTGCGACCCAGAGCCAGAGCCCTCCCTCCCTTGGACATAACTTTCTTGAGTGGCTGTGGGGCCTTACAGTTCCACACGTGAAGTATTCGTGCCTTTGACCCAGAAATCACCCTCCTGGGCAGACACTAGGAAATAACTCCGACGGTCGTTACATCTCCCACAAGTGTTTGCTGCCTGCCTGCCCTGTGTCAGCACTGTGTCAGTGGCAGGGCACCAGCTCCTGGATCTCGAGAGGAGGTGGCACCTGACCCAGCGCAGGAAAGGCCAGGAACAGCCAGGGGCATTGGCGTGGCTTCGCCGTTTTTGGAATCAGCTGAGGAAGGGAGTGCAAAATCGTGCCACCCTCCTGCCGTGCTTGTTTCCCACCACAGAGCCTGCTGGCCGAGCAACAGACCTCGAGGCCTCTGGGCCAAGCTCCCAGCCCCACTCTGGCTCAGGGTACCGGAAGGGGTCCTGCTGGGCCCCTGGCCCGAATCTGAGGGAGCCGTGCCCACCAGGGCGCCACACTGCCTGTCCACTTCTGCCTCTCATCCTGCTCCCCTTCCTGTGGCCCAGGCTACGTGACGTCCATCATGGGCCGGAGGAGACCGCTACCAAGGATCCATGCGCAGGACCAGCAGCTCCGGGCTCAGGCAGAGCGGCAGGCGGTGAACTTCGTGGTGCAAGGTACCCCGAGTCCTCAGCTCGCCTGCTGGGGCCATTCCTTCCCGGGTTTTTAGCAGCTGCAGGGCTGGGTGACACCCATCATACCATGGTCCCCCTCTTTCCTGCTCCTGTCCTCCCAGCACACGTGGGGGCCCCTGACATGTAGGAACCGTGAGATGGGGGATCTGGGTTGTGGTGGGTCATGCATGACACGCGTGGAAAGTTGAGACAGCTGCCTCGTGCTAGGCAGTACCCCCCGGGGCCTGGGCCCCATGTTGTAGTGAAGCCGAACCTCCTGTGCCCACAGGCTCCGCCGCGGACCTCTGCAAGATGGCCATGATCCACACCTTTGCTGCCGTGGCCGCTTCCCCCACCCTGACTGCAAGGTCAGTGAGCGAGTGGCCAGCCTGCCCAGCCCGGCCGAGCTATGCTCCTGCTGTTCCCAGGGCTCGGGTGGCCTGGGAGGCCTGCTGCTCTGTGGCTGGCCCCAGGCACACAGCCCAAGCTTCCCACCTGCCGTGGGCCCAGGTCACGGTTCCAATCAAGATCACCACCCCAAACAGAGGGACTCCCTTGAGTCTGAGCTCCTCTCAGCACTCCTGGGATGGCCCTTTCCCCTGACCTGGGCAGGGCCAAGCACCCAAGGGCCTGCTCACAGCAGCACCCAGTGACAACAGGCCATTCGCCTTGGGCACCGAGGCCTCTCGGGAGCTTCTGAACTCCTTCAGGCACAGCAGCTGCCCACCCTGGAGGTGGAGGGACCCAGAGCCTGGCAGACGGGGCACAGGCTCCAGACTGCCCCACTCCCACCCCAGTGCTGCCCCCGACTTCAGTTAGTGCGCCGGACGCCCAGCTCTGCTGCTGCCCCTGCCCGAGCCAGCCTTCACACATCTCGAAGGAGGGGCTCCACCGGGCTGCCAGGGCCACGGCTCTCTCTGGTCTGTCTCTGCCACGGTCGCTCCCCTCGGGTGCACCTCCTGAGTAGCTGGGTGACAAGGAGCCCTAGCCCAGCCTCTGCCGGCCCAGAGCCACCCCTCCCAGCTCCCCAGGTCCTGGCCCTGGGTCCCAGGTGGCTAACCTGAAGTCCCCAGACAAGTGAGCGTGTCGGACCCCAGAAGGTCTGGCTCCCTTCCTCCTCAGTCCCCAAGCACACTGTCAGAGTAGAGCCATCCCTGCCAAAGGGCCCTTCACAGCCCATCAGCATGCCCACCACCAAGGAGGGGCTCGTGGCGGGTTAGGCAGCATCTCTAGATGGTGAAGTGTCTAGTGGTCTCACCAGCCCCAACCTGAGGGGTGTCACTCTCACCCCCCAACCCCCACGGGCAGGTGTGTCACCGGCAGAGGCCAGCTGAGTTGCCCTTCCTGCCGCCCTCGGGGACCTGCTCGCCTGGGAACCCTTTCCATCTGAGCTTTCCGCTTCCTCTGGGCTTCTCACGTTATTGAACTTTCTCAAGGCCTGACTTTTCCTTACCTGAGGCTTCATCTCTCTTTAGGAAGCCATGTGCCCTGGCCCATTTGGCTCAGTGGTTAGAGTGTTGGCCTGCGGACTGAGGGGTCCTGGGTTCGATTCTGGCCAATGGCACGTACCTTGGTTGCAGGCTCATCCCTGGCCCCTGCCGGGGTGCATACGTACGGGAGGCAACCGATGGATGTCTCTCTCTCACATCGATGTTTCTCTCTCTCTGAAAAGCAGTGAGGAAAATATCCTCCATGATGGTTAAACAAAAGCCCTCCCCTGTGTTTCTTCAGAGAGTTCCTGCTGCTCATTCTGACTTTGAGCTTGTGTTCCTTTGGGGACATCAGCGATTTTGTACGAAGCATGCACCAGGCCCAGGCCACCCCAGGACGGTGGAGTGGCATCCGTCCCAGTCTGGGAGCGGGGAGGAGACTGTCCCCACCCAGGCCACACACCCACTGTCGGCCACGTCCCTTTAACCCTCCATCCGCGCTTCTCCTTCCACCCTGTCCAGGAGGCCACACCTGGGCCTCTCCAGGCCCCTCTGACCCCCGGTCCCTGCACCAGGTCTGGGCTGCGTCTCTGGTTTCTGCAGGGACTGGGGAGGCAAGAGCGGAACGTGAAACACTTTTATCTCCAAGCTCCTCCTGCCACGTCGCGTTGCAAGCTGCACCCAGGCTTCCTAGGGGTTTTCGGGTTAGTGCCTCTGCCCCGTGCATCCTGCTCACTGTGTCGTTCCTGGGGGGTAGGTCTGGGAGAGGGTGGGAGCAGCCTGTGCTGGCTCACCCTCCAGGCAGGTGGTTCTGCATCTGTGACATCGTCAATCTAGACAGTCTGGCTGGTTTCGGTTTTGTGGGGTTGATGAAGCTGGTGTGTGAGGATTTGGGGTATTTGGGGTGACAGAGTCCTGGGGCAAGCAAACCAGTGTTTACCCAGGAAGTTACCAGCCCAGCTGGTCACCTTTCTGCCATCTGCCCCTTACTGTCCTCGGGATGCTTTTCACAGCCCAGCAGCTGTGGGGTCAGCACACTTCCTGCTCCGTGTTTTCTGAACCTTACCTGTTCTTCCTGGAGCAGTAGACAGGGCCCTGGGCCGTGCCTAGAGGGACATATGGGCTGTGCGTGGGCCATGTCTGCCTGAAGGTGCGGGAGCGAATGTGTGTCCGGGAGGCCGTGGTCTTGCAGGGACGCACCCCTCCAGAGCCTCATCCTGACGCTCCAAGTGCCCCATGGGCCGCAGCCACGGGACAGACCCACTCGCTGCCCACGGGCCACAGTAGGAAGGCTGGGGAAGCTCCCACCCCGTCTCTGGCTCAGCTGTCGGCGTTGTGGCCTGTGGACAAGGGACTCTGTGGAAAGGCCCTCCCAAGTGTCAGAACGTGGGGGAGCTGGAGAGCAGCTTCGGAGACTGTCGGCCTCGCGCCTGAGTGAAGAAGGGAAACTGAGGCCCAGAGCATGGCCCAACGTGTCCACATTCATGCAGCCGGACCAGCTGGGCCTCCCTACCTGGAGCTGTGGCCTCCCTTGCCCTGCGCCTTCAAGAAGGGACTAGGAGCCCCGCCCGAATCTCCAGCCTAGGCGGTGGCCTCAGGGAGACACGTGCTCTTTGCCCTGGGTACATGCAGGGCACTTGGAAGATGGCTCATCTCCTTGCCCCCTGGGCAGCCCTCTGACCTCTGGCTGCCTCCCAGTGCAGCAGCACCCCGAGGACATCCTGTGGCTAGGTCTCGCCCAACACCGTGGGGCACTTGCTCTCTTGGCCTCCAAAAGGGGCAGAGAAGGTGCCTGGGGCCCAGGGGAAGCAGGAGGACCAGCCAAGCAGTGAGGAGTCGCCTGGAAGGACTGCTGGGGTGGTGGGGGCAGGACCTGGACTTCCCTGAAGAAAGGGCTGTGGGCAGACAGTCCTCAGCAGCTCCAAGACACCGCTCCGGGGGGTGGACAGGACACAGCAGGAGGACTCAGCTGTGAAAGGCCCTGAGCATGCCGGGCAGAGAGGGACCGGGGACGGTGGACCTGATGCCTGTTTCCCTGCCCCCACTCCCCCTCGCCTGTTCCTGCTCCCTTCCTGTGCCCAGGTGAGGAGTGTGGTGACGCGCAGTCAGCTGTGAGCTGTGTCCCGACTGGCGGTGCAGGCCCATCGCAGGTGCCCCCGCAGCGGCAGCCTCGGGGTAATTCTGAGAGGTGTGAGCCACTGCGGCTGCTCGGAGGGCTCTGCCCTCCGCGGGGGCCGAGGACCCCACCAGAGGCCTTGAAGTTAATTAAAAGGTCTGACTCCAGAAGGGCAGTGCCCACAGCCTGGGCCAGAGGCTACAGGTAAAACGCAGGCGCACCTCCCTGTGGCCAGTGGCCTGCTCGGGGCCTGGCCTGGCCTGACGTGCTGTGGGTTCTCTCCTGTGGGATGTGCTCTCCCCACTAGTGACACAGGCCCAGCAGCAGCGGCTCAGACTCCAAAGGTGGGCTTTCTCCTTTCTCGAGCCGGCCAGGGCACCTCAGCTGCTGACTTTGGTCCAGGGTGGGGCCAAGGTTCCTCTGGCCCCCAGCCCTGTCCCTCTCGGTGCCTTGGTGGCGTGGCTGCTGCTGCTGTCGGTGCTCACAGGCCAAAGCAGGAAGGAGTGACGGTCACAAGGGTGCCTGAGCCCCGACAGAGCCCTCCTGGAGCTGGAGGGTACACAGCTCAGGGCCACCCTGAGAACCCCATCTCCCCCCCCCAGCGACAAGAGGAAAATGGATGGGCAGACCCCCCAGATCCCTGCTGCCAAGTCCTGAGCACCTTCCACAGAAGGTACCGCACGGTCCGCCTCGCACCGGGGCTTGAGGAGCTGCCCGCCCCAGCCCAGGCCCACCACTGGATGACCACTGCCCGGTGGGCCTCGCCACACCTCCCAGCTTCCTGGACAGCCTAGGCCCACGGCTTCACCCTGTGGGAGGTCTGCCTGCTGCCCCTTTCCGCCAGTGCTGTGCCTGCCACCGACAGGCAGCCAGGTGACAGGACCGGATGTGGCCCTGGCCTTGAACCAGTTCACTCGAGGGGCAGAGCACACAAGACCCCCAGACCCCCACCATTCTCAGAGGGCTGCAGACCCTCCAGGTCACCAAGTGGGCCGCCTGCTCCATACCTCCCCTCCCTGAGTGGATGGGGAGCCACCTTCATCCACCCTGAGGGAGGGGCCGGCACCAGATCTGGGGCCACAGGCCAAGGCAGGCGTCACCCGCCCAGGCACGTAAGCCAGCCACGTCCCACCTTCTAAAGAGGCCTGAGGTCTTGCAAGTCTAGCCACAGTCGTGCTCTGTGCAGCCACCTTGGAGCTTCAAGAGCCCACCCCTGGGTGGCCCTGTCACTGCATCCCCACCCATGCACTTCTGCACCCGCTGCCTTGTCACTTGAATTTAAGCCCTGCTGAGACCCCTGCCCTGGGCAGTGTGTTACCCACACAGAGTGGACTCTCGGTCCACAGGCCCTCTGTACAGTGTCTGCACCCCCCACTTCCTCTCCCTGCTGAAGCAGGAGGGAGAGACACCCCTCTGCCTGCTGAGGAGCTTGGAGAGGGCTGCAGGCGAGGGTGGTGGGTGCTGGGCTGTCTCCCCAGAGCCAGGCAGCCCCAGTGCAGGGACTCACCGGGGAGGGAGCTGGAATGAGCTCTCGCCGGATGGAGTCCTTGGGGCTGGGCTCAGCCCAGAGCCCAGCAGGGGGAGGCAGGTCTCGGGCAGGAACTGGAGGGGGCTGCAGGGAGCAGGGCCAGGCTGTCCAGTGCTCGAAGCACAGCCTCCATGCCGAGGAAGGAACCTCTCTGGTCCTGGCCGGACAAGGGAGCTGGGAGTTGAGGTGCTTTCTTTTACCCTTTAGAGTTTTGAATATACTTTCCAAATTTTATTAAATATTTCTTTGACTTAATAGCCAATTTTAAAACAAGGGTTGTCCCTCCCATCAGCTTCCCCTAAGCTACTATTCAAAGTGGGAGGTGCTCGCAGCTCCCCCAGGGTCCCCCACGTTCCTGATTCGTCTTCAGCCCTCACAGCACCGCCGCACCCAGTGGTCCAGGGAGCTCTTCTCCCGCTGCTGCTTGGACTTTCCACCCACTGTGCCCTCACCAGGTCCCCAGGTGGGGTGGCCCCTCCGCCAGGCCTCCTGCCTCCACTGGCCTCCCTGGAGGCTGCCCTGAGGAGAGCGCAGTGACCCAGGCAGCAGCCCCGATGGCCTCCCGCCCCCCGCTGAGCCACATCCTCTCCACCACCCTGGGCCAGCCCTCAGAGATGCCCCGTCATCCCTGTGCACACGCCCCCAGATGACGCCCACTGGCTGGGCAGACGGAGCTTGGTGCCTTGACCACCCCCATCCTAGGGCGACTCCCTCCTGCGCTGTGTCTTCCAGGTTGGTTGCCCAGATTCATGATGAGCTGCTGTTCGAAGTGGAAGACTCACAGGTTCCGGAGTTTGCAGGTGAGCCCAGAGGAGAGCAGGCTGCATTTATTCCTCAAAGAGCTGAAGCGTGTCCCTGTGTCTGGCCCGGGCTGCACCCTAGCCAGCAGCCTCACGGACACCAGTGCTCCACTGTGGGCCGGCCCTGGAAAGGTGGGGGGCATCGGGGCCTCCCAGGCTGTGGGGGCGTGTGGTGGGATTCTGTCGCTGAGGCTCAGTGCGGACTCCAAGCCTAGGTCGCTGCCTTCTCTGAGGGACGGCACTGCCAGCTGTAGGGAGGGCCAGGATTTCCTCCCCTCAGCATAGCTGCGGGTGCGGGCAGGATGCACCCACTCTGGCCTCGGTGAGAGCAGGACAGGCATCTGCCTGGCCCCTGAGTGTTTCTGTCCAAATCTTTGTATTAACTGTCAGGTAACTTAGTGGGATGGAATGAAATGTTCATTTATTAAAGAGGCAGGCTAACTCTGAGACCCTGCACCAAGCTGACCCTACCTACCCCACCTGGCTGCTCCCTTCCCAGGGCCCGAGCACAACTGCCCCATGGTGACCGAGGCCCCGGGGGCCATCCCACCCCGGCCACGGAGCTGCCCTGCAGGCTTTACCTTTACCTGGGCCTCCACAGGGAATATGGGGAGCGTACTGGGCCTCCTGCCCCGGCTCCTCCTGCCTCCTCGGGGCCCAGAGCCTCTGGACGGAGAGCTGGGGGCCTGGCCTGACACCTGCCCAGCCCTGCCCAGCACCGGCAGGGGTGAGGGAGGCCAGCAGCTGGGTGGGGCCTGAGTGCTGCTGGGACGGGATGGCCCCCCTCAGGTGGGGGACCCACAGTTGGGACTGTGAAGGGCCTTCAGGCCTGTGCTGTAGACATGGCCATGGGAGCTGGACCCAGCCAGGAGCACTGGGGGAGGCGAGCAGGGGGCTGGTGTTCTCGTGCCCCAACTCTACCCTGGGCTCAGGCTGACCCTCCCTCCCTTCCTTTATCCCAGCTCTTGTCAGGGGCGCCATGGAGTCATTGCAGCACGTGAGGGCATTGGAGCTGCAGCTGCAGGTGAGAGGAGGGGCAGGGACCAGGTGGTCACACTCCCCCAGCTGCCAGAGCCTCCTGGGGCAGAGTCCAGCCCTCCAAGGGCAGGAGAGCCAGCACAGGGCATGGCCCAGCCCTGCCTGCAGCACCTGAGCCCCAGGCTGCCCTCCCCCCCAGCCCTGGGAGGAGCCAGGTTACCTGGGGTAACAGTATGGCCCCTCCACCTGGCCCGAGCCTCACTGGGTGTCCTCAGGGGCTGCAGGAACTGGGCCAGGCTGGGCAAGGAGTATTGTCAGACCACCCAGGGCTGCCCACCTACTTCAGGTGCACCCTGGGGCCTGCTGAGCCTGGTCCTAGCCCCACTCCTGGCTGGTCACCTCTGAGGGACTCCCCCAAGCCTTTGGGAAAGACGGGGGATAATGAGGGGTGGGAGGCTCTGAAGCCTGTGGAGAGACATCCGGGTCCCTGTCCCTGTCCCTGTCTCTTGGAGGGGCTGCTCCAGCCACAGGCACCTGGGGCCACCACGGAGAAGGGCTGCAGGAAAGGTGGCTGACGTCGGCTGCATCCTTGAGCTCCCCTCCCTCCTCGCTGGGTGTGGCCACACTCTGTGCCCCTAGGGCCCCTGCATGGGCACCCTTCACCTTGTCCTATGGGGAGTAGCTTGACAGGGTCAAGGAATGCCTGCAGAGGCCCAGCCAGGGTCAGGAATTCCTGGGTTCCAGGGTGGTCCACGCTTGCTGCTGCAGCAGGTGGAGACGTGGGGGGCTTTCTGTCCATGGAAGCCCAGGAGCCCCCCACTAGTAGTCCTGCAGGTTACAGGGAACTGCAGCTGGGCTGCCCCACCCACCCTATCGAGAGGGAGCAAGGGCCATCTTAGGACCAAGGTCCCAAGGAGGACTCTCCAGAATCCCTGGCACCTCTCAGGGCCAGCCAATCCTCCAGGGGGCAGGGGCCCGAGGTAGCCAGCACAGGTAGGGCACCTTGCCTGGCCCCACCCCTGCAGGCATGCTCACTGGCACAGGCCCTGGCAGGTCAGGTGGTGGAATCGAGGTGTTAGGACGGGGGGTGGGGGTTGAATGTGCTGTGAGCCTGTCTGCCTGTGCCTGAGAGTGTGTGAGTGTGTGTCCATCCACAGCGCGTTGCTGTGGCGTGTCTGAGCCTGCCTGCCTGTGCACTGTGGGCCCTGTCCCCACGTGTGGACCTGGGGGGTGGCCGGGAAGCTGGCTCAGGCCTGGTGCTCACCTCTGGCTGCCGCCCACAGGTGCCCCTGAAGGTGAGCTTGAGTGCTGGCCGCTCGTGGGGACACCTGGTGCCACTGCAAGAGGCTGCGAACCCTTGGCCACGCCCATGTCCTGCCGAGTCTCCAAGCAACCACCAGGCCACCGCTGAGCCCCTGGTCAGCACCTGCCCCCCCGGGCCTTCGTTTTGTCTGTAGTCCAGGGCAACAGCAGGAGGACAGAGCTGGTTCCCACCAGCCGGCGGCGTGGCCTTCGCTAAGGTCAGCAGCTGGCGGGCTGTGCTGGCTCTGTGGGTTGGGCAGGACGTGGCACAGGGCAAATCCGCCCTCTGAGCCATCACCGGGAGTAAACGCTGTATACAAAGTTGCCCTCGTTGCTGTCCAAGTGACTTCCCCCTGAGGGTGGGGAGTGCCGGCCCACAGTCCCAGCCACTCGGCCAGACCAGGGCTGAGTGCCCCATGCAGGCGGCCAGGGCCCAAAGTGCCCATGGGCCTCAGGCAGGCCAGTGACTGGACCCTGGGAACAGTCTGTGGCCCCCCGGTCTACTCTCAGAGCAGTTCTCACAGGCCCCCCAGTACCAAGGGAAGGGCCCAGCCGTGCACCACAACAGCCCGACAGCAGCCCTATGCAGAGGCACCCACATGACCCCTTGCACAGTGGGGAAACTGAGGCACAGAAAGGTTCCATCACCTGTACAAATACACCTGGCTCATCAGTGTCCCGCTGGGACTGCAGCCCTGGCAGAGCCTGGACCACGGCTCTGCTGCCTCTACCCCAGCCCCTGGGAATGTGCCCTGGGGCCCCACTTCCAGACCCCCGTCACCCTGAGGGGGCTCAGCCCCTCCCAGTAGCTTCCTTATCTGGATCTGGGCTCTAACCCGGTCCCCATGGCACCTGTCCAGGGGTGGTGAGCATGTTGACAGTGCCCAGTGGCCCAGGTGCTCCCTTCCACACATGCGAAGGCTGCTCGTTCAAACGGTGGCCGGGTTTCCTGTGCTGCTGCTCTCATGAGCCCACCGGACATGCACCATCTCCTCCAAGAGACGTGGTCATTGGTGCCCAGGCCCAGGCCTGCCTTTCTCACTGGTTTCCTGGGGTGAGCCCAGGCCTCCCTGCCAGCGGCTGGTGTTGAGTGTGTCTGTGGCGGCCACACCTCTGGTGCCTGTCCTTACGCTGTCACCTCAGAGGCACAATCCCTGGAGGGCTTCACAAGGGATGGCCAGGCTTGGGAACCGATGTCCAAGCATGTCCCCCGGGCCCACCTGGCCTCTGTGCCGCAGGGCTGATCCACAGGGCTGGCGCTTCCCGGTGCTGGCCTTTCAGGCTTCAGACCCAGTGACACTGGCTTAACCTAGAAGATCCCAGAGCAGGGAGCACCCCCAACATCCCCCCACAGATGAGGGACAGACCCTCGGGAAGGGGTGTGCAGGAGCAGGGCCCACTGTGGGGAGCTGGCCGGGGCTGGGCGGGTGCAGGTCCTTATCAACAAGGCCAGGGGTCCACCCTGAACCGCTCCTCACCCTGTCACCCTGCTCTCCCACCTGGACCCCCAACCCCACGCCCTCCCCTCCCTTACACCAGGCCCCACTGCCCCTCCCAAGTGGGTTTGATGCCACCTGCAGACACTCAGGTCTCTAGTGGAACCCCCAGCAGGGATGGGGCACCTCAGCCTCACAGGTCACCCCCGCACCTGTCCCAACCCTGGAGCCCTGAGTCTCCAGAAAACCGGCCCTTCCGGCCCGCACTGGCTGCAGACGCCTCAAAGAAGCACAGAAGCCAGTTCTCAACTCTGGTTTTATTGAAAAACAGCAGCATCGGGCTGTGCAGGCAGAGGGGCCACACGGCTCCCCCCTCCTGCTGCTCACACCCCCACAGGAAGCCGGGACCCCGCCAACCCTGGCCCTGCAGCCTGTTGCTGGGACTCGGCTTGCCGCTGCTCCAGACCTCTCGGGCTGTTTTGGCACATCCTGGGGTCTCAGGAAAGTCACCCCATCATGGGCTCACACAAAGTAAACCAGGCACTGGGACAGGCTCTGGGCTCCGCCGGACTGAAGAGGTGGCAACCATGGCAGTCATGGCCAAACAGCCTGGCCCTGGTGACCCATGTCACCAAATCTGATCTTGGCCACCTTCCCCGCATGCCCAGAGACCCAGGAAAACACTCGTCTGGGTCATGCCATCCTCGCACCGGCCCGTCCAGCACCCTCCGCCACGGAAGGAGCACCACATTCCCTGCCCCCTGGGACCTGGCAGGCCCAACACAGCAGCAGAGCTCGGGGCACAGGCACCGTCCCTGCCAAGCACCTCCCGCCTCCACCCCAGGCGCCCTCCCTGTCACCGCACACGTGCATGTGCACACATGGCACACACACACACGTGTACACGCAAGCACACCCTTCTTCAAAATGGCTAATTATTGCTGTTTTAAAAAAACAAAAAATGCATCTGCAGTGGTAGGTCGGGTCCACCGCAGCCTCACAACCCCGGGAGCGTGTCGTCAGCACCGAGGAGCACTCACATCCTAGGACTGGCCCCTCACCCAGCCCAGACCTCAGACCCCAAAGCCTCGTGAAGGGGCCACCGGGACAGGAACGCGGGCATGTGGCCAAAACCAATTCACAGAAGTTGCTTCAAACAGCCCCCAGCCCTCAAACCAGCCCCTCACAGTGCCAGCCACCCCCAGGGAGGCAGGGGCAGGTGCTTGAATTGTCGATGTTACCCCCCACCCCCGAGGACAGAGCCAGGCACTAAGGCGCAGGGCCCCCGAGCACCTGCCAGACACCTGAAGAAACCACCTGGGAGCCTCCCCGCCCTGGCTCCTGGACGGGCCTCCTCTGAAGGGAGACACCCAGCAGGACCGGGGCCACCCAAGGACCTCACGGCCGCAGGCCACCTGTCCGCAGGGCCTCCAGCCTCAACCTTCTCCCAGGGCAAGCCCCTCACCCACTCAGGGCAGGCTCCTCCACCCAAGGGCAGCATTGGGAGCCCAAGCCAGACACAGGCAGGGGTGCAAGGGAAGAGACGCTGCCACGGCCCCCCCAGGCCTCACCACATGGCTAGCCTCAGCACACCCAGGCCACCGACCCTGGGAGCCAGCTGTCTGCAGAGCCTGTGCCTGGGCAGGGGCCTGCCCTGCCCACCAGCCACACGCCAAGACCCTGGTGGCGCTGGGTCAGGCCCTGGGGCCCTCGGCTACCCTGGGTCCCACTGCCGGGAGCTGCCCATCTAACAGACACATTCTGGAATATCCCACCTCCTGCTCTCTGCTCCAAAAACAGAGGCTTCCAAACAGACAACAGACATCCTGGGAGCCGTGGCCCCTGAGCACAGATACCCGGCCCAGGGCCGACTTCCCCTGAGCCTCACCAGGCCGCCATCGGGGAGAGCCAGGAGGCCAGCAGGGAGGAGAGGGCCCAGGGCCGGCCAACTCGGAGAAGCTGCCAGACACACCACCGAGCAGGCCTCAGGACACTTCACAGAGGTAGAAGAGGTAACATCAGAATTTCTACAAACGTATAAAATTCACATCTCAGTGCACGTTTCCGGAGTAGTTGGCCCAGGCTGAAGGGAAGTGGCTGGCCAGGGGCAGCGCGCCACCGGGGTGCCCAGCCTCGGGCCAGCGGGGAGAGTGGGAGATCTGCCCCCAGAGGACCTCGGGATCAGCTGCACACTGACCAGGTGAGGGCCCCGTCCTGGGTGTAGAGCACGCCCAGCCTGGCGGACGCACCGACGCCTCTGTACACCCACCTCAGCAGCTAGGCCTCAGGGTCCTGGACTGGCGGCCACCCTGCCACACCCTCCCCGCATCTCTGGCAGCAACAAAGGGCACTAAAGGTTAAGAGTCCAGGCAGCGTCCACCTGCTCCGGGCCATCTGATGGGGGAAGACTCGGCAGCCCATCCAGATCCCTCTCAGACAGAGGCCTGCACAGGGACAGCCACACCGTCGCCCAGGCACACCACCAGCAAAGTGCCTTGGTCAACACCAACCAGACACTGGAGGCCCCATGCTCTGCCCTGGCCCATGGGTTCCAGCA